GGAGGCCCCTTGACGTGACATGGGCTGTCTCTTGTTCCTGTTTTTCTAGTTCTCAAAACGACAGACGCTCGGTTTGTTTTGAGCTCTTTAGCATAGCATTTTTCACACAAAGCTTTTAATAATAAAATCACTAAACAAGTTCTCAGCTTCTTTTTGCAGAGAAAAGCAACTTCTACACGAAGGCAGGGGTTTCATTTTGGAGCTTCAACAAGACGGAGGAACCCCCCCCCCGCCCCCGAGGTCGGCCTGTTAGCTTAGCTCATAGCTTAGTTTCTCAGTTTAGCCACTTTTAACGATCCAAAAACACAAATTTCAGATGGTTACAACAGATTTTAAAGAGAAAAGAGAAAGGGAGGGGTCAGTGAAGACACCGGAGTTGAGTCTTTTGTCATCCGGTGTCTTCAGCAGAAAGAGACAAGAAACGATTAAGATGATAAATAAAATGAGGCTGATAATTTTCATTTATTATGCGATTGATTGATTTATTGTTTATCGTGATGGTCCTAGTATAAATTTGTCATTTTTTTGTTTTTTATCATTTTATTTATTTATTATTTAGTGTGCGCAGCCTATATTCGGGTGCACTCTATAGACCGGCGATTACGGTAGATGTGTGTTTGCAGGCTACACCACGAGCCAGGCAGGACATACTCATTTGTTTGGCCTGAGCGTGAGCGTCCTCCTCCAGCTTGCTGAGGAAGGGGTTCTCCTGAGTCAGCAGCACTTTGATGTCCTCCGTGCTCACTCTGATTATCCTGGAGCGAATGTACGGCTGAAGAATGTAGATACCCTGGAAAGGACATACGTGAAATGTGGACGACAAAGTGCAGACCAAAATAATAAAGAAGAAGTCTTGACGGTTACACTGCACGTGAAAATGAATGTGATGTTTGAGTTCTGACGTCTGGCACTCTTGTTGCTCAGATGTGCTTAATGGCTCGGTGGGGGCTACAATACTGACCAAACAATTATTATTTTTAAACTGGCAGTACGCCACTGTCCCCTGTCCTTGAAGGATTTGATCAGTGAGAGTTTGTAGTTTTTGGGACAAGTGTTTTTCTGGGCTGGTATTGAACAGTGAATGCAAGTAAACCTTAATGCTTGTAGTTGGTAGACTGTGTAAAAGATTTAGTTTTTTGTTCCTGTCTGAGGCAGTGAAAGGGAGGGAGAAATTTTATCCAACACCAGGCGTAATGGCGGAGCCAGGGGGTGGCCACTGGTGGCCTCGGCCACCATAGTTTAATCTTCAGCTACCCTAAATATTTGAGGAACCTCTACTTTTAAGTCAAATAAGACTAAAGAGTAGTTACTTCGAATGATGGGGGTGGCCGGTTTGCATCCATCTATGATAGAGGCCATCTTGGATTTTGATGTGGCAACCCAAGGAACCTTTTTTATTCCTAGATGCATCCATAAACCAAAATTAAATTCCTCAAAAAATACTTAATTGTTCATTTATTGTGCTCACAACTAGCGTGGATGAACAGACGGAAAGACAAAAAAAAAAAAAACACTGCACGAGTAAACGTATATCTAAATATATTAAAAACCTTTAGAAATATGCAAAACACTTAAATGGCACGCTCAATAATCCAGGTAGTTATTTTTGTGCTAAAAAAAAAAAAAGAAACTGTCCAGATGACCTAACTGAAAATTGTTGGATTGTATACCTGGATTGTTGAGCATGGACTTTGATGGTTTTGAACCAGTTTGACATAACTGTCGACGAGGAAGAGAGCCGGCACTGAAGGAGGGGGCGTGCCAAAGATACCATCTTAGCACCAACATAACTGGTTTGTTCCACTTTGGAGTAAGCTGTTGGGAGAAGAATCAGTTTTGTTGTGCGTTTCCTTGACTGATGAAGCTGTCTGGATGGAAAGATGTTTGTGTAAAAAAAAAAAAAAAAACTGTCCAGATGACCTGACTGAAAATTGTTGGACGCAACACTTCTTTCAGCTCATCCCTCTTCAGGGGTCTCCTCCATCTCTGTCCTCTTCATCCTCTGTCCTCACTCCAACTACCTCCATGTCTCTAACTACATCCATATATCTCCTCTTTGTCTTTTTCCTGGCATCTGCATTTCTAACATCCTTCTACCAATATCAAGTTCAAGTAGGTTTTATTGTTATTTCATCACGTGGTACATGAGGTGGAATGAAATTATCAGGGTCCCAGTGACATTCAATAGCAAAAACATAAAGTGTAAAAAGAAACAGTAAAGAAGGATCTAAGATATCAACTAAGATATACGAAAAACACTAATAGTGAAAAACAATACGCTGAACAGCAGCAGCAGCAATATTCACACTGTCCCTCCTCTGGACATGTCCAAACCACTGTCCCTCCTCTGGAAATGTTCAAACCACCGTCCCTCCTCTGGACATGTCCAAACATCTCAGTCTGGTCTCTCTAACTTTATCTCCCAGTTGTTCAACCTGTGCTGTACCTCTGATGATCTCATTCCTAATCTTATCCATCCTTGTCTCTCCTAAGGAGAACCTCAACATCTTCATTTCTGCTGCTTCCAATTCTTTCTCCTGACTTTTTGTCCATGTCTCTGTCTCCAGACCAGACAACATAGCTGGTCTCACCACTGTCCTGCTGTTCTCATTCATGTCCTGTATCGGTCTAACACACTCCTCTGCCACTCCAGATTTCCTCATGCAACACCACACCTCCTCCCTCGGCACCCTGTCATCCGCTTTTTCTAAATCCACAAAGGCACAATGGAGTTCTTTCTGACCCTCTCTGTACTTCTCCATCAACATCCTCAAAGCAAAGATGGCATCTGTGGTGCTCTTTCTTGGCATGAAACCATACTGCTGCTCAGTCACCTCTCATCTAAGTCTTCCTTCCACAACTCTCTCCCAGATCTTCATCGTGTGGATCATCAACTTAATTCTCCTGTAGTTGCTACAACTCTATACATCACCCTTGTTCTTAAAAATGGCCACCAGCACACTTCTTCTCCATTATTCAGGCATTTCGTCTCCCTCAAATATGCCATTGAATATTTGAGTCAAAAACCTCACTCACCTCCACTGGTATGTCATCAGGTGCTACTGGTTCAGGTTTGGTTTATTTGTCATATGGAAAATCAACACAAGGTCAACAATGCAATGACATGCTGAGGACGAGAAGAACCGTTTCAACTCGCCAATAATAAAAAAACACAACAACAACAAGAAATATCAAAGCATGCAGCAAAAGTACTATAAAATACTACTAAAATACTAAGAACAAAGCCCAAAGTTGAAAAGAAATATATCTACAGTGTGGTTCGGTTAGCAGTGAGGTTCTTTCAACGTCATGGTTCTGTTCTGTTAACAGCGTGATCTTGTTAGCAGGTCCAGTCAGCAGCTTGATGGTAATAAGGACCACTGCAGCTGCCCTCACAGACGGCAGTCCAGAACCGGGTCCGGAAGACAAGAGAACATCCAAGGTTTCTCCACAGAATCGAACGGGTCCGTAGAGTTCGGTCCACGCAGGCAGGTGGAGGATCATGGAGACAGCTGCCATGACATGCCAGAGCCTGAGCCCGAGGCTGGAGGGGGGCCAGGAACTGAACCACAATGTCAGGGTGGCAAGGCAGCAACACACAAAACTCCACAAGTGTGTCGTGGTCATACCCATAGCGTGGGTGTGCAGTGTAGGTGCAAAAAAAAGGTTAAAACAAGAACAACAGGAATAAAAAAAGATGGAGTCGAAGCGGAGCTCCCATCGGTGCAGCCATACTGCCTCGCTCGTGACGTCACTCTCCTGCTTCAATCTTTTCAGAGCTTTCTGGACTTCACCTTAGAGCAGGCATGGGCAAACCCCGGCCCGCGGGCCATATACCCTGTTGGGCTTTTTAATTGGCCTGTCGAAATTGTCCAAAATTTGGACAATAAAAAAAAATTAAAAAATTTTTTTTTTAATACTTTGTTTTTCAGTGGTGCTGAGGTAAAATTTAGGGGTTCTTAAGCACATCCAAAAAAAAGGTTAAAATCGCCACTGGTTCAAATTATATTTAAAAAACTGAATTTAATAATAAAAAAATTTTAAAAACTGGTGTCGTTTTACCTGTAGTTCCAGCATTTCCCCAGTAGAGGTGCACTACAGACACTGGTGTGTATTACAGGCAAGGGGAGAAGAAGTAATTTCTTCTACGCTTTTATTTTTACTTTGCCCTACGAGCTCGTCTGTAAAAACGTGTTTATCAAATAAAAGTGTACGAGTGCCGAGTGTTTAAAATGGGGTGGACAACAACATATTGTTTCACTGAAGTCCAGTCAAAGGCAGTTTTTATGTCAAGAACCTGTCACGGTTTTCCAAGAGCACACTTTGCTTACTGCTAACTATGCTAGCAAGTCTTTCTCCGATGGCAATTTTTTTCCAAATGTTTCCACCGTTTCTTTCCAATGTTTCCAAAAAAAAGGCCAACAAATTGTAATTTGTAGTCACGGTAACCATATTTTGACTTGTGCACTGTCTTCTTTCACTTTTAAGTTACACAAGCCTCTGGACTGGTCAAGCTGTGGAGAGACGAGGTGGAACACCAGACCTGCGATGATCCAGTCTGTAAATGATGCTCTGAGGTCTGGGAAGATGCACGACATCATGCTTCACCCAAACGAGCTCGTTATGCACGACATCATGCTTCACCCAAACGAGCTCGTTATGCACGACATCATGCTTCGCCCAAACGAGCTCGTTACCTCGACCACGTAGACTGAACTTCTTGAGGACGTCGTCCAATGTATAATAACGCCTGTAAACATTTTTATTGGTCGAGTTCTCTGCTAAGTACATTATTTTTCTTTCTTTTTTTTGTGTTTGTTTAAACAATTTAAAACATGACAGTAATGTCACTGTTTAAAGGAAACAATTGCTCAATAAATTAGTAAAATGCAACTTGTTATGTTTGGGTTCTTTCATCTAAGGTAGACATGGAGTGACACATGTACTGGTTTGGATTTTTTTGTTTTTACTGTAACCGACCTTAAAAAGATCTAGAAACATGGACTCAGCAGCTGATCCTCCGTAGAAAAATTATATGGACTACATGCCATGTATTATTTGTTTTATGATATTTAGTGAAGGTTTTTGTTTGTTTAAAGTAATAAATGTCTCTATTTCACCACAGATGAACTGTTCCTGTTGCCATATCTTTTGAAATAAAACGGCACAACACAAAGTAATTTAAACAGGAATGGGTAGAAGATTAAATAAAATTCTATTTATTTCCTAAAAAATATGTATGTCCTAAAAATTAAATTAAAAGAAAAAAAAAAAAAAAAAAAAACAGGAGCAGGACAGGAGTGGGAGTGATTCTGAACAGGAGCAGGAGTCATGTTACCAGGAGTGGGACAGGACAGGATTTTTTTCTGTGGGACCAGGAGTGGGACAGGAGTGAAAATCCACTCCCGTGTCATCCTCTTCTTCACCCTCACTGATCTTTCCCACTTCCTGGTCCACAGTTTCTATGACCTCTACTCTTCTTTCTCTTTCGTTCTATTCGTTCATTAGCTTCTCAAAGTACTCCTTCCATCTTCGTGTCACACTCTCCTCGCTTGTTAGAACATTACCAATGTTTTGTGTTCAACACAATAATTCCTCCTTGGTGTGGTTCGTTTTATATTGTGTTTTTGTACAGGCCTTCACGTACCCACTTGTTCCCCCATCTGTATGCCATAAATACCAGTTCACCCAGTCTCATGTGAACCCAGGATGTGACCCCCTTCCAAACAATTCAGTTTAAATATACTTTATTAATCCAAAAGGGAAATTATTTGTTGTTGTAACTCATTATCCTCATTTCATTATTAAATTATTAATTATTATCATTATTTCATTATTAAGTATTAAACCCCATCAAGTGCTGGCAATTCCTCTACAAGGCAGCCTGTGTCTGGTGGCTTTCACTCACTATTTCTACTGACTGTCAAATGCTCCAGCAACTGCCTGATAACAACCCCTCCTACTCATTCTGTCACCCATTTCTGGTGCACATTCCTGTCCAGCTCCTTACAAACTGAACCAGTTACATCCCATCACTAGTCTGGATGTGGACCAAATTACCTCCCAATCAGATCAGTCTGTCTGGGAACTTATTTTAGTCAGAATTTGTTTTTATTTCTCTGAAAATCATTTCATGTGAGAATTGATATAGACTGATGACTGGCCTTTATCAAATGCTTTATGTTTACGTGTGTATTGTGTGTTACCTCCTGAGCCAGCCTGAAGGCACAACCAAACTCTTCTCCGTCACTGTTACGAGACCACACCTTCACCCCGGTGTTAATGAACTGGGGGGGGGGGGGGGACAAAGAGATAGAAAGCAAATAAAAAGCAGGTTGATTAAATCTGCAAAGTGACATCAATACTCAAAAAAGGATTTATTTATAACCATATAGATTGTACAAATACAGATTATTAGTAATGTTTTTCCAATTACATAAACCTAGTATGCCATAGGAAGGTACGGTAAAGCATGGCTGAAAATCTGCAGCGGGTTGGGTTAAGTACATACATACATATTAAGGAAGGAGGAAAGGAAGGAAGGAAGAAAGGCAGGCAGAAAGGAAGTATGTAAGTACGAAAGGAAGGAAGGAAGTACGTAAGAAAGTAAGAACAAAAGTAAGTATGAAAGTAAGTAAGAATGAAAGTATCAGTAAGTATGAAAGTAACTAAGTACGGAAGTAAGTAAGGAAGTAAAAAAGTAAAAGAAAGAAAACAAAAGTAAGTATGTGACTAAGTATGGAAATAAGTAAGTATGGAAGGAAGGAAGGAAGGAAGGAAGAAAGGAAGTATGGAAGTAAGTAAGTATGGAAGTAAATAAGGAAATATCAATCAACCTTTATTTATACAGGTAAATCCCATTGAGCCTCGAGGACTCATTTACAAGAGAGACCTGATTTCAACAAAGAAAGATGACAACAATGGACAACAGCAACAACAATAAACAGTTATAAAAAGCATACTACAGTTTTTTTTTGTTGTTTTTTTACAAATAGGATGGCTAAAGGAAAAAGGTAACAAAACCAAAAAAACTGCTAGATTCCGAGACAAATGTATAAAACTAAAAACAGGAACATGTCTGCATATTCAAATATAGAAGTAAGTATGGATGGAAGGAAGGAAGGAAGGAAGTAAGTATAGAAGTAAATAAGTAATTAAGGAAGGAAGGAAGGAAGTATGGAAGTAAGTATGAAAAGAAGCAAGTAAGGAAGTAAGCAAGTAAGGAAGTAAGCAAGGAAGAAAGAAAAAGTAAGTAAGAAAGTAGATGTAAGAAAGAAAGAAAAAAGTGTGTGACCAAGTATGGAAGTAAGTAAGTATGGAAGGAAGAAAGTATGGAAGTGTGGAAGTAGGTAAGTATGGAAGTAAGTACGTATGGAAGTAAATAAGTACAGAAGCAAGTGTGGAAGTAAGTAAGTATGGAAGTAAGTGTGGAAGTAAATAAGTATGGAAGTAAGTGTGGAAGTAA